GTGGTCCCTGATTGGTGTGTATCACAGCAAAGAAATGGCAAAATACCTTCCAAGATGCCACATCCCCAACAGAGTACATTCCCCTTCCTCCTGCTTAAGAGGTCAAGTCTCATAGTCAGGAGTAGCTCCTGTTTTGAACTTGTAGCTAAAAAGTCAGAAAATCTCAGGTAAAGAAGCACAGGAAGAAAAATAGAAACCATACAAAAGATGAGGGTAACTACCAAGTGGTTCTTGTTGCCCGAGGCATGAAACTAATCCATTTGAAGTCTGAACTGATAAGAGAATTTTTGCATGAATTCCAAGAACACAGGTAGGTAGATGGCTGGGAAGAAAACGTATCTCTAGGGTATTCTGACTTTATGGGACTTAGATAGTCCCAAAATTTCTACTCCTTACAACTGCACTGAGGGATTTGCTATTCCACATTGTTTGTAGTTAAATGAGTAACATCAAGTAAAACAAAAGTTTTCGTACAACTATTAACTTGTTTTCCAGGAATTAATCCAGTTTCTGCCTGGACCAATTAATGAAACTGCACAGCAAATTAAATTTGTTTTTTCAGTGCTGAGTAGGAACAATGCAAACTAAAAAGACCACACTGACTGAGGCAGTCGGTCTCTGGATACTTTTTCTTTGCTATGTATTTTTCAACAATGTGATTAAAACTTATTTGTGTTAGTTTTCTAACTTAAAAATATATTCATAGTCAATAGGAACGCTATGACTCATGACAAAGCAAGGTGGACATGACCTTGCCCACACTGTGTCCATTTAGAGTACTTTCTGTGTTCATTTTTAATGTTTAGTCTTCCTCTATAACTTGCCTTCGTGTGATGTGTGATAAAATGAATAATGTAAAATATTTCTCCTTTATAGTTCTTCAAAGATGTAAACAATTCCGTTATTCTGTGCTGTAGTTAGGTCAGTGTTCCAGTATCTACTTGGTAGAACAGAGCAGGCAGAGCACCAGAAGCTGAGCTGTGATGTGTCCAGGACTGCCATGATTACAGCCTGTGTGCCAACAGGCTGGTACCACGGGTAGGAGCAGCAAGGTCAGTGTGATTTAATGCCAGCCCAGTTCTGACCTCAGCTGATCTCAGCTGACAGACAAAGCCTGTATTGGAGATATAACAAGACTCATCGGATCCATCACTTAGATCTCTTGTTCGTGTTTTAGAAATGAAAGCTGAAATCCACTATTACTCTTTTAAGTTACTGTTTCCAGGCAGATCCAATAATTTTGGGTTTTTTGGTAGTGATTTAATTCCAGTATTGTGTGGAAGAAGGAGGAGGATGGGAAGCTTGCTTACCTTGCAGTGCACCCAAGAATAGAGGATGTAACCTGGCAGCACTCAGTGGTCTACACTGGCCTTGCTAGGATGGCTTTGTAAAAGTGGTAAATGTGGTTTTGAAAGGAGAGATTCTTCAGAATAGTCTTCTTAAGGGTGCCTGAAACCAACTTCATTGCACCCTTTTCTCCACTCACTGCAGCATCAGTCACTAGACCTTTGCAAACGCCAAAATGCTTTTCCAGCACGAAGTCAGCTTCGATGTAGGTGTGTAATGTGAGTGATCATATGATTAGTTTTGTTGTTATGACCTCTTTGAAGACAAATATCTTGCATTTTTAACAGTTATTTGAATTCTATGCATAATTCTTTGTCAGAGAAGCAGTTGATCCTGACCAAGTTGAAGCTTCCCAGAGGAATAATCCAAATCTGTATTTCCATATATATTAATAAACGATGTAATACTTGCAGCAACTCACGTAACACCATTTTGAAATGAGATAGAACTCATTATCGGTACAATGAGGAGCACAGACTCTTTCCTGTCAGAAATAATGGACTGAGATCTACACAATTACTTTCCCTCACTGTCCCTTTAATCATATATGTAACAAGGTGTTTGTAAATGTTTCTCAGCTTGTGCTGTAGTGGGGCATACACTGGTCCCAGCCAACTCCTATGGTTGCAAGCAGGAGGAGTATATAAATAAATCCTTTAATCTTGTCTGGTTTCATGATGTAACATCAGCAGCATTGTGCATTGCACAAGCCAAAATGAAACTTCAGCTTGCTGCTACCTGAGGATAGGGGATGCCATGTTTGATCTGTCATCCTGATTTTGGCCTTTTGCTCTGGGTGTGAGTCTGAAGTGATTCCTTTCTCTTTGTACACCGGAGGATTTTGGTCTGTATTGGAGGACAGTCTTAAGCTATACCAAGGGAGGTTCAGATTGGGTATTAGGAAGAAGTTCTACACAGAAAGAGTGATTAGACACTGAAGTGGGCTCCCCAGGGAGGTGGTGGAGGCAACGTCCCTGGAGGTGTTTAAGGGAAAACTGGATGTGGCTCTCAGTGCCATGGTCTGGTTGGCAAGGTGGTGTTTGGTCACAGATTGAACTCGATGATCTCAGGGGTCTTTTCTAACCTAGCTGATTCTGTGATACTGAGATTTGAACTTGGCACTCCACTCTATGTGAAGCTGGCACCTACTAGTCAGGCTCTGCTCAGAGGCACCTGCTGCCAACACTCAGGAATTGCTACCAGAGTAAGTAATAAGCCCAAGCCTTTTGTGATCCTGGTCAATGACCAGGGTCCAGAATCAAGAATTAGAGACCAGTCTTCTTCAGCTTGGGATTTACAGTGCTTAACCATGCAGCTGCAGTTTGGCTTCTACACTCGAAGAAGAATGGACTTTATTTTGAATATGGCTGAGAAGTGGGAAATGGTGTCCTGCTGTTTTTTTCCAGTAGCTGAGCAGGGGATGTAGAAAAGCAAGACCATACCTACTTCAACTGTGAAGCAGAACAGAAAGTTCTGTCCCCATCTGTAACTGCAACCCCTCTCTGATCTGGCTGTAGGCTGTTTATTGTGGAGGAAGCAGGTGGGAGGTTTGCATCCATGATACTGAAAGGAACTCAGTAAAGAAAAAAAAAAAATAAGGGAAGAGAAGGAAAAGAAAGGATGTGATTTAATTATTTAATAAGACAGTGCATTTAGACACCAGACATATTTTGGAAGTTTTTATTTCTGGAATACAAGATGAAGCAGTTTGGCAAAAAACCCTCATGCTTCATAGAAATGCAGTTCTGTGTGTTCTTAGGAAAAGGATGAAACCTATCACTTCCGTGGAATTTGTGCAAGTCATTCTGGAACAAAATCTGTCTTATAGTGTGGGGTTTAGACACCTTCAAGCAGCAGTGAAGTAAATGCACTAATTAAATAGTGTAACCCGTTAAGAATTGTAATATTGGAAACATGGCAAAATGAAATTTTGTTTGCTAAAAGTGATTTATCCAATGGACTTAGGGAAGGAAACAGACTCCCCACCTGCATCCTTCAGCATTTTTGGATAGTAATCTGCTTTAAATAATTTGACAGGCCCTTTTTGTAGTCCAGTGTCAGAGGATTATATTATTTTCAGAACAATTTATGAAAGATTAGTAGAGGCATAGTTAATCATTTCAACTAGATACAGCTTTTTTTTAATAAATATTCAAATTAACGAGTTCTACCTTTTGATCTTTCTGGCTGCAAATCCCTCTGGAACTGATGCCAATTAGGATTTGGTAATAACTTGGTTATGAACATGGACCAGTGTGTGCCTACGTATGGCGTGCCTGTGTGCACATGTTTACACATGTGGGTAGGTGTCAGTGCCCCTGGAGAGTGGCACATGATCAATTAGACCTGTTCAGTTCTCAACCACTCTGGAAAGTGGACATCTCCACTCAGAGAGGGAATTGAATAAAAATGCAAGCACAGTAGTAACCAAAAAGTAATTCTGCTTTATCATGCACAATGTTTTGCACTGCTTGTTGCCAGTCTGATGCTTTTCGGACAGTTACATACAGCTTGTACTCTTCACACTATTAAGAAATGTTCTTGTTTTTAAAAAGGGAAATGCAATTCCTGCACCAAATAAATGGCACCAGCCCGAGGCGTGATGGAGTAAGAAATTTTCAGAGAAGCAGACTGGCCTTGCTTAGAGCTTCACTCTGTGTGAAGGGGAAACAGGAACTAATTAGGGCTTTTTATCAGTTCTTGTACTGACACTTCTACGAGCCCACAGTGGTGTCATTTCAAACCTCATTGCAAACAGGTCCATGCTGACCTGTGTGTGTTGCTGAGTTTCTTTGCATAGGCACTGAATTGCCTTAATTGAAATGTGCTATGGGTTTACAGTATAAGCACCAATAAGATCTGTTTTCTAGAACTGATAAACCTGCAGGAGTAGGGCAAGAACAATACCAGGTTCTCAGTCCTGCCACCCACACTAAATTTGGTATGATGGCACTTGTTTCAACTGAACTTTCCTTCTCCTATACCTACATTTCTGAATGGTTGGAGGTTATTTTCTTCCTGGTGTCCCACAACCTATGACCTTTTCATCTCCTACATTTGTAACAATATTCTGAAGCCACTTGTGTTGCAGCTTTATATGGATCTGACGAGATGTTAATGTTCAGTTTCCTATATCCAAGCAATTTTTAGAACATTTCTTTCTCTACCATTCTCTAATCTGAAGGGAAATGATTGATTGGACCCCAAAAGCCTTCTTTCCCAAACTGTAAGAGTATCTGTATTCAAAGATGAGTGTCAGGGAGTGTGGATCAATACAAAATGTTGTATTTCTAAAGCATTATTCTTTGCCTGACTCACAGTCTCTTGTCTTGCTGAAAATTCAGTTCTGATTTCAAATGTTTGAAATTTGTTCTGTGGACAATTTCTAGTCACAATGCTACAAAACCTGACAAAAGCTTTTCTCAGTTTCTTCTTGTAGAGTTTTGAGTGCATAGCAGTGTATCTGCCTCTCAGTTTTTGGGCTGTGTTGAAAAATAGACCTCTAGTAGTCACCTTGTTTTAAGAAAAGAGCATTACTCATTCTCAAATTCAAAAGTAGGATCTATTCATGAGAGGCAGAAGTGAGACCCTGGTTCCAGGTACAGTTCAGGCAAAGGTGGATCATTTACTTACATTTGTACTTTCTCTTACAGCATAGGTGGAGAAGTAGCAAGAGGAAATGAAGGCAGCTACGTGGGGAAACATTTCCGCATGGGATTTATGACGATGCCGGCTCCTCAGGACAGGCTGCCTCATCCTTGCTCCAGTGGCTTTACCGTGAGATCCCAGTCTCTTCATTCTGTTGGAGGAACCGACGATGAAAGCAGCAGCTCCCGTAAGCAGCCACCTCCGAAACCGAAGCGAGACCCCAACACCAAACTGAGCACCTCATCTGAAACAGTCAACACAGGAACAACAAGCAAAAGTGGGAAACTACCGGACCGGACTGAAGGTAAGCGGTGCAATTCTTTGGAAAAAAAGGGGTTTGGTGAACCATTGTTAAGATCATCTGGTTGATAATCTTGCATTTAAGAATTGTGTGTTGGTGCCAGCACAGATGTCCTAGATCACTGTTGTCTAAATTTTGGACCAGTGGGTAGTTTTACCCTTGATGTTTGTCACAGAACTGTACTGATGGTCTGATGGTATTCTGGGGAATGAGTTGAATTTATTCAAAATGAAAAGAGATTGCTGTCAGTTGGCACATAAGACAATGTTACCTGCCCACCAACCAAGGACCACTGACCATATCACTAGCACTGTGCAAACCACAGTCCCCAGCAAGGAAATATCATCCTACAGTAAAAATCATACCAGGGATGATATAATGTATTGCCCAAAGCTTCTGTTTGTGTCTGAGTCTACATTTTCTCTCCCCAGTCCTCCCAGTTACTTGTCAGCCAGTGCAGCATTCAGAAGAAAATTAACAAATGGATGGAGTAAAGATATTGCTTCCTTACTCTGAACTACTAAAGCTGAGCTGATGCTATAGGCATCCTCTCCTTCCTTTCTTCCATGCTGGAAATGCATTCTGTGCAGTGGTAGGATCAGCTGTACTCCCTCCTAGGAGCAATCAGGAGGTTTCACGGTGTGAATGGTTTTGATCAGTGCTGGTCTTTCCCACTGCTGTGTTAGGTGTCAGTTTTGACATCCCATGCAGTATGTTGTGCTCTTACTGCATGCCCCTTTTGTTTGGTGGCGTGACCAGAAACACTTCTTAGCTATATCTGTGTTATGACCCCTTTTAAGCAAATCTGATTTCAAAAAGTTGTCAGTTATAGCGAAGTTGCAAATGAATGTGTTACTCAACTGGTGGCATGTAAGTCTGTGATTGTGATGTTAAATGCAAGCGCTGAACAGAACTGTGGATTTATTTATGCTGTTGGTAGTTGTTTTGCATATGACATTTACCATTACTTCCATAGCTTGTCCTCTACAGTGACCACTACGTCCACTCCACTGCAGACTAACACGACAAATGCAAGAATTAAGTAGCTGTCCTTAATAAAAACAGTTTACCAGAATTTCACTGGACCAAAGTGTTCACAGAAACAATTCAGATTTGAGCCACAGACAGATTTAAATTTTCATATCAGGAAACCTTTCAATTCTTTAACTTAATGCACAAGGAAAATGTATGGCACAAGCTTCTTGATATTTGAGTCCAAGGAAGGAATATGTTGCCATGTCCCTTCTGACAGATTCCAAATTTTGAAATTGATCGACATTTCTGTTTCTAAAGCCACTTTGCATCCTCCATGGAGTGCAGGTTGAGCTTGGTCTGTCCCATCACTGGGTGGTTATGAGTGGCATGCGTGGTACCGTAGCCGTGTTCCCTGTGTTTAATCTGTATGACAATGGTACTACCACACCACATTGCTAAGCGTTGCAGGGTGCCTGGGATTCGTTATTGTAATCAAGAGCTGAATATTCATAGCAAGATCTCTGGAAAGAGCTGATGAATGAGTAATACTCCGTCATTAGCATAAAAGATAATACCTAAATGTTACCTTTTAGTGTGACTAAATGCCTTCATGGAACACTGAGGATCTCTATGATGCTTAATATATGACTTGTAATGTATTCATTCTGCTGCTTTGTATGTGGAGCAACAGTGGGTGCTTTTAGGCTAAAATGATGATGTTCCTGGAGATTTTGAATTGTCACACTGTTGTTTTCATGTGCTCAGAATGTCTGCCCTGCTTCTGTGTCTTTGTTTACAGGGGTTTCACCGAAGGGTTTAAAACACAGAAAAATCAGATTGTAGGGTTATTTTTGAAGTAAGCAGTCAAATTTTTAAGACTGAGATATACTCAGGGGTGGTACAATATGGTGTTTGGATGAACAGGCTGGGTTTCTGAAATGTTTTGCTGTCACTAGGAGAGTCTTTGTTATCACCTGTGCACTCTAATGTAACATTGTTTTGATGAAAGAATTTTCACAGTCATCTGGCTAGCATAGGAAGGTTTATATAAAGACTATGGTCATACATTGATGAGAACATCTAAAGATGAGCAGAACCAGATGACAGTCCAAGTTCATATCTGCACTGTTGATTGATACAAATATTAAACAAGCTTTGACACCAAGTATGAAATTGTTACTGTTACTCTAAAATGAACTCCTAGCAAATTTAGTATCTGAAATTGTTGCTAGCTTAGAGAATCTCATGAAACTCAGAATCTGCCTTTTTTTTTTTTTTTTTTTTTTTTTTTTTTTGGGGGGGGGGAGCAAAGGTTATGGGTTTTTTTATGTAGCAGTATCTTTCCAGTTTCAGGTAAGATAGTCCATAGGATACAATATTCATGTTCTCCTTGGGAGGGCTTTGAAAGCTCAAGTCAAAGAACACACAGGTTTAACTTTCAGTCACTGCTGTCCATATTGTACCCAAATATTTGTGTATGCATGTGTCTCACACATTGGCATGTACGTGTGGTATTTGCAGGCTGAATGGCTACAGCTTTTCCAGGAACTATGGAAAATAATGATGAAACCCCTATTGTTTCTCCATCAACTACTGTGGAATCTCTACAAAGGAGTTGTTACAAAATTGTTCCCAGCTCCATTTTTTTCATGGCACTGCAGAGTAATTCAGACTATAATGTCTATTGTCTGATCCTGTGGCTACTTTGAAAAGTAATTTGCTGCATTTTCTATACAACCAGGGACAGTCTCACCGCTCATTTTTATTAAACATGTTTATGTTTTACTTGTTGATAATGATCCTGTTTATAGAAAAAAACCCACCAACAACAAAATAGTTACTGATAGTAAATTTGATTCTTTTTCTCATCCTGGTAAAGTCAAAATATTGCATTCATCCCATCATAATAACTGCCACAATATTAGATTGGTTTGAATATGCCTAACTTTACTGCAGAAGGGACAGAAAAGATTTGGTCATGAGCTTGAAAGACTTCCTTTCCTCCTGAAGCACAAATAGCATCCGTAACGCCCACACCAGTCCTGTACACTTTTCCTGCAAATGCTCCTGCTTCCATATTTGTGGGAGTGTGAGAATCCTTTAAGTTGCAGTGACACGTATTAACCCTGTCTCACTGTGCAGCAGTGGGATAACACCTTGGTTGCTGTGTTTCATCCCAGCCTGCCTTGGCTCTGCCTGAAAGAGCCCTCTCCAGCCTCAAGGCCTCATTCTCCTTAACTTGACTTTGCTGCTGTGTTTCCGTGCTTTGTGTCCCTTCCTGTGCTTTAATATTCCACTTTTTACTCCTCTGGCTCCCTCTCATGTGCACCCACTGAACGCCTTCCACCCAGTGCATTTCTCCTCCGTGACAGATTTCTAGAAAGTTGTTTTTAAAAATGTGGGTTGTCTTTTCCCCAGAGTTTTCAAACTCCGGTGGGAACAGCAAACAAATGGAGCTGTGCCCCATACATCACACATTGGAAGTGAGAAGTGAACTGAAAAGGGTAATTTAAAATTACATTTCAGCGTGGAAGGCACATCTAATCTTGTTCATGAAAGGCTCTCTATTGAGAAAAAGCAGGACCATAATTAATTGATGTGTTTTCGGTGCCCAATCTTACAGAAAAAAGGAAGTAATAAAACAGTATAATTGGCCAATGTAACCAGCCTCAAGCAGTGTTTTTGATATGATCGCTGCATGTCCACAGGAAAGGTTTACAGATCTGCTGCAGTACAAACATAAATTAGGAAGTATAAGTGGATTGCATTTTGAAAGTTAATGTTTTGTTAAAATTCTGCTTAGTAATATGGAGGACTGCTTTATATAAATAAATGCACATAAAAATATGTTATATAATTTAATTTGTGTATACATGATTTACACAAGTGTAATGAAAATGCAAGTTGTATGTACTTGTATGTACATACAGATGTGCACACAAATGCAGATTAAAACTCAGAGTAACATTTTTTAAAATTATTTTCATTGTTGTAATTTTGGTCCTGGCAGAGCCAAAGGGAAATATACCTCCAATATGGGAAAATACTTGCAGGGGACCCTCCTTGTTATCCCACTCAATTTGTCTAGTATTTTCCTTCCAAGTGTCATGTGGAAGAAGATATCCCTCCTGCTGCTGCCTTCTAAGCCCATGCAGTGGGCTCAGCAATTCCTAAAGGTGGGCAACCTGTAAGGAAAATTTTCCTCTGGAGAAAAGCAATTAAGGCAGCTGTAACTGGGGTTGCAGTCCAGCTGGTCTCTCTCATAAATCTAGTTTTCTGTCAGCTAGACTGGTGGCTCTTCATTGTAGACTTGAACTTTTGCTACTCTTGTTGAACAGTGCTTGGAGTAAAAGGATTTAGCACTTTTACTCATTTTGCATAATGCTGGTTTCCTTTTATTTCTTACCTTGGTGAATAATATATTTAACCCGAACTTTGAAATAGTGTCCTCTGCAGTAACCATGTCTTGCCTTTCCTTATAGCCAGATCTTATTCCTGGATCTTTTTATCCATGCCTTCTAAAGTAAGAAATACCATTAATGAGCCCTATTCAGACTGGACAAGACTAAAGGGACTGACGAGTTCTGGTGGGTTGACCTGGAGCTGCATTGTGCCTGAGAGGCCTGAGTGTTTGCATGTTGTGCACTGCATGCTTTTTAGATCATTTTCCTCTTTCCTCCAGCCTGCACTGTGTTTTGAGCACAGTGTTTTACCCCGTGGGAAGCTGCAGCTAGTGTTCATGTAAGCTATATAGGTATAATGCAAGCTGGTACTGAGCCACCTGCAAAGCAATGTCTGCTTTCCTTCACGTACTTTAATCTGATTCTGGATCTCAGTGCTGCCTTACCACTTATTTTTTGTACACTGCAATGTATGTCTTGCAGCCTGTGAGGCTTGAGAGAGCTTAACTTGAAACTGTGCACGCTGGGAGAAAGCATCTGGGAACGATGGAGGGAAAACTCAAAGACAGTGTCAGAAATCACAGGCCCTGTTGTCAATAGAATGAGGTGGAGCTGACTCTGTTATCA